AATAATACAGCGATTATTCAAACATTTAGCCAAAATCTACCAAACACCAGTATCTATTGCCCTTCCCTGCACATTCAGGGTCCATCACGCATCACAGCTTTCCTCCTCTCCTCTCTCCTCCGCTCGCTGCTCTTTCCTACCATCCAGACCATTGACAAAGCTAATGAGGCGTTCAGCCGAGATAACAGACGCAGCGAGCTTCTGTCTCCCAGCGAGTGTCTCAATGTGTCTCAGTGCCTCCGTCGCCAAGAATGTTCTACTGGTATCCATGGTTCTCGGCCTTTGCCATACGCCATAATTATGGACCTTCTATTTTTGGATGTAGGCTGTAGCTTAGCATGTTACATAAGCATATCATGATTGTCTCCACGATTTAAGGCGTGCCTTCGAGACCCATAAATGACTCTCTAGTGTCTAACTATCTTTGCGTGACTTTGCGAGTCAACGAGACAGAGTTGTAGCAAAATGTACCTCCTAAATACGTAGGAAAAAGAGAGATAGAAGAGAGAGAGAGAGAGAGAGAGAGAGAGAGAGAGAGAGAGAGAGAGAGAGAGAGAGAGAGAGAGAGAGAGAGAGAGACCTGAGACACCGACTAATAAGGCGGAGAAGGTCGCCCCATGGGTGGTTGGAGAGTAAATCTGTAGGGCGGACACCAAACTAGTTACGTCCCGCCGGGTCCTATCTAGGAGGACATCTTTGTGTCGGAAATCAGCGCTGGCAGCTCACAGATTGGTGAGGTATCGATACGGACAGAGATCTCGAGATAGCTAAACGAACGTAATTAATGGTCAATTTCCAGCGACTATACAGTATACACAGCTGTATATATACAGGTCCAACGTTACATGGATATAATGGTATGGGCCAATTACACGACATTAGATTTGTGCTGTCACGTATAGATGCACACAAAATATCCAAATCATAGCAGTACATATACAAAACTGACAGCTTACTAGACAGAAAATACATCAAACACGATTTTCAACACATGTTTGATGCCGACCACAACCTGCCCTCAGCAACGCCATGCCACTCCACACCACAAGGGAGCAATGGGCTGCATATTTCCGGTCCCCAGCCCACCATACTGGATGTGACGGGCAATCAGGTCCGAGCAGCTAGCGACAGAGCCTACGGAAGCTATTTAGGAGAGAAACCACTCAGGCCGTCGCCGCCGCCGCCGCTACCGACGACGACGACAACGTTATATGACTGAATGGCAGAGCTCCGCTATTCACTCAGCCAGAGAACTCCACAGGAAATCAGCGAGTCGCTGGCATCCCTGAATGTGTCATCAAATTCGTTCTGATGCTCTAAAATGCCGCACGCCGGACGCCACTCTTGTTCTCCGCTCGGTGGCGTTTTGCGGGACAGCCTACATGCAGGCGTTACTGCTGCTGCCATCTATCGGGAGAATAAAACACTGATAAGGCAGGGCGGTCGGCCCCACAGGCCCACAGCCATACAGTGTTCTGCACCTGTTGACGCCAGTTTGGAACTAGTGCTAACTAGTTTGCTGAGCGAGTGTGGATCGGGCCACCGAGTCTGCACTGAACACAGCAAATCGATGGAAGCCATTGCTACTGAACGGGCCACCAAACGATCGGGTGAAATGTGGTTCAGAGTGGACGAAACAACAACGGCCGAGTGCGGGCAGGGTTTCAAAATGAAAGGTCACGGCTGTCCGAAGTCGTATTGTCTGGACAGCCTAAAATGGTTGCAGTGAACATTCGACTCGCAGAGCCAGTAGGATAAACATGAATCCAAAGCAGCTCCAAAAAAAAAAAACAAGGAGCAGAAAATATATACAATAAGCAAGCAGGAAAAGAAATTGCACTTCGCAAGTTAGCATAAAAACATACAGCTATAGGCATGCTTGATCAATTGACTGCTGGATTGACTGATTGGTAGACGGAACATATGCTGATGAGACAGGCAGCCAGCCAGCCAGACAGACAGCCAGCTAGACAGACAGACAGACAGACAAACAGACAGACAGACAGACCGACAGACAAACAGACAGGAAGACCGACGCGACTGTCTGACTTTCAGCCCCCTTATCGACCTGCTGCCTCCAGCAAATGGTCACGGGTCAGTTAGAACGTTCAACATTCCCCGGTGCTGCCATGGATCGACCTCTAACTGGGCTTCAGAGGTCACACGACTGTCAAACGATCCGACTGTGACCCAAAGGTCAGGTCGGCGGGAAGATAGCGACGGTCAGGAGGGAAACGACGGCATTGCGATAGTGGTCAGTAAGCTGATAGACTCGGTCACCTGAAGAAAGTTGGAGTCATAGGACAGTGAAGGGAAGTAAGCAGACGAAAGAGGCTCTATGTGAATGAGCCCAGAGGATTCACAACCCTCTCCCGTCAAGGTACGAAAGCCACTTAAGATTGCAGAGTAGGCTAAAATCACTTAACATCATTGAAATATGTTACACTCGCATTGGTAGACCAGCTAACTTGTGAGTAGCAATGATGGTAATTTTAATATAGCCATTTCAAATCCACCATCCCACTTTTGGATCGGATGGACGAAATTGGCGCTAATCCCCCTGGAGACCACGGTTAATTTCAGGTAGACCCAACTTCAGAACAGAATATTTCTTCTTGAAATTCTCTTCTGAAATTGATTGCCACAATTTCTCTTTGGGCCACCAGACTTGTCCATGAAGTTCCGAACGCGCTTGGCCATTATGATGAGAAATCACCTCAGCTTATTGCAGTCAACGGAAACCCTCTCCGTAAAACACACGGCAATTGAGTAGATGTGGGCTCTAAGCACCTCAATAAGGCCACTGGCCGGTCCGTTGTGCAAATAATCGACGGTGATGGAGGGAATTTCTCCCCGAGGCACGAGGCCCAGTGGCCCGGGGATATATTTGCACACGCTCGCCGAGGCGAGCCGTTATGACCTCAATCGACGCTCGTTTGGGTTTCGGATTTCTAAGCATGGCTCACTGAAACCAGGGAGGATAGTGGGATTGTTTCTGATAAACAAGAATATCCGCGGAACTAGTGAGCTAATCAAAACCAAAGACTGAGCTGTTAGCGCCTCATAACTCCCGTGCCTTCGGTTATTTTGTTCACAACTTTTACTGAAGCGTTTGTTGCACTTCAGTAGGAAAAACATATTTTTTCAACACCATCAGAAAACTGATTTTGTGAAGAAGTTGCGTCAAGAGGGGTCACGCTACGCGTTTGTTGCTAAACTAAGTTCCGGTGGCAGATAATGCCAGCATAGAGCTTCGTCTGCATAGAATTACCATCTGCCCCCTCGTTCACATAGCGCCACACCTCGTCCCAGCTGCGCCACACCTCGTCTCGCTCGTACCACACCTTTGCCACGCTCCCATTTCGCGGCTCTCCGGCGGCATTTTATCTTTATCTAACATCTCTGACCACTTCTCCGCGCGTCCAGCCGCAAACACGGCCGTCCAGACAAAAAGAGCCGAAAACTGGCGAAGTTACGGCTCGCTAGAAGTTGTTCGAGCTTAAACAGACAGAGAAAGCTGGTACCTGAAATGATGATTGTGAAGATGCGAGAAAATACCGCAGAGCACGCTACGAACAAACTAATCAAAGAAATACAAGCTTCAAGAGTTTGTAATTACTATACTTCGGAAGATATTCGCAAAAGAATGATGACAAAAGATACTGTCATAACACCCCACTGGCAAGCAAGAATTTCTTTCGTGGAGCATCTTCACTTCAAAGAGATGTGGGAAAAAAGCTCAGCAGGCGAGATGAGACTGAGCTCTCCACAAGGAAAAGAGAAGCAGATTCTGGGGAGAACGGCTCCTCCAGGCCCACCGCGGCAGATCAAAGTCTCTCAGAGATATGACGGGCCGCCGGTGATGGTCGGCGCACCACTTCCGCCGTATGCAAATGGCGGCGTCATTGCCGCCGCAAAGTGTCGGTGAAATTGCCTCACGGCGTGCCAAAATGAGCGCTTTATGCCCAGCGACCTCCAGAGAGGAAAGAGGAGGGGAGACGATATGATGGGAAAGACGAGGGAGAGGAAAGGAGCGGATATGGAGAGGGAGAGAGAGAGGGAGGGAGGGAGAGAGAAAAAAGAAGGGGAGGGAGAGAAAGAGAGGTGTAGGATACATTATGGCAGTCCGGTGTCGAACTGTCGAGGGATCATGGCAGGGAAGGAAATCTGAAACGACATGAACGGCAAGGATCTACGAGAAGAGAAGAGAAACCGACGAATCTAAGCGGAAAAGGCTGATATCAGTCATGGGGTGCACTCCCCCATGCAACGGCTCCGAGTTTATACAGCCATTCTCTCTAAAACCGTACTGCAATAGCAGGCATTCCTCAAATTCCAATGTGAGTCACGGTCATTTCCGATGCACATATATCTCCATTATTCTGTGCGGCCCGACCGGTTCTGGCGCGGTCAAGCAGTCCCATGTTGACTGACAATAGTCGACATTCATTCATTCATTCATTTATTCATTCATTCATTTATTCATTCATTCATTCATTCATTGAACAATATGGATGTCCAGACAACACAGTCCTTTGGCGCAACGCCATCCTCCCCGCACGTATCCAGCTCCCAATTCAATAACAACACATCAACCAGCCCTGTCACATCATGTCACACCAATGACGGTGTCCAAAGTCAGACGCCGGGGGACGTGGGTAGGAGCGTGGGCGATTGAGTCGGATACTGGTCGAATGGGTATGCGTGGGTGGTATAGTGGGGCCAATGCAGCCGGTAATATTCGGTGGCAGTGGCGCAGCTGGTGCTCGAGACATTTGTATTGTGTAAACCAAGTTCTTGAGAAAGAGGGAGAGAGAGAGAGAGAGAGAGAGAGAGAGAGAGAGAGAGAGAGAGAGAGAGAGAGAGAGAGAGAGAGAGAGAGAGAGAGAGAGAGAAAGAGAGAGAGAGAGAGAGAGAGAGAGAGAGAGAGAGAGAGAGAGAGAGAGAGGAGCAAGAGAACGAGCTAGAAGACACCGTAGGTGTCACAAGTGACAACTTACCTTTTCACATGCGGAGGTTGCCTTGATGAATTCGGCATATTTGGCCTTGACCGGGCTGTTGTGGGCTCCGCAGAGAAGCTGCCAGACGATGCCGCGGAAATGATGCGGGATCCCTTTGCGCACCAGGTCCTGCACAGAGACAGAGAATGGGTCAGGTCAAAACTAGTCGGGTCAGGTCACAGGTAATCATGTGATATCAAAGTAGTCACACATGTAAAAGAACGATGATCGTTTTGCTTAATGTAACTCTGCATATCTATTCGTTTCCCGTTGGGTTAGATTTGAAAGCTGTTTATTCGTTCGCAACATTCACGATGTTTTCCACGAGTAATATTGGACCATGAATACAGCATCCCATCACACCACATGACCACATTTCCATACCAGGACCTCGTCAATCGTCTCCACGATCTATCGATCCGCATCATAATTGCAATCGCCCGCTCTATCAGACACCACGGCGCCGCACCGCATAAGCGAACGATCACGTGCCATGCTCGGGGAAAGAGAACCATCACTGGCGCCCATTTCCTTGCCTCGTTTCCTGATAAAGACCATCGCGCCGCATCATCACACGGCGAACGAAGAACCAGCTGACGATGTTCTATCACTGACCAGAGAAGCCTGGCGGGTGTACACTGATAGGAAATCGTACCGAACGACCTCGAGCCAGAAGCCATGCAACGGCAACGAAATGGTGTTTCTTTACTTGACCTTGTGGACAAAAAAAAAGGCAAATACTGGTAATTTGCTCGGCGTGGCTCACTAGCTCGGAATTTTTTGGTAATGTGAGTTCATTTGAATTCACATAAAAAGCTCAAAGCAAAAATGCATAATGCATTGCCTTTATGAGCTATTGAAGACTTTTGAAAGAGCACGCATTTTGGCGCCAAAAGAACATAGCTTGCTATCGATCCTGGTTCTTAAATGCAGAATTGCGGATTCTTTCGATCAACTTTCACTCATATCTTCGACCAGGCCATCTACCCATCTGCCCACCAGCCCACCTCCCTTTCCAGACAGACTGGAACCCGCGTTTACGCTGTGCACATACCCCTCCCCGTCGGCCCCGTCCCTAGGTCGCTCGCCAAGTGAGATTTACGGTCCTGGCGACTTTTTACGAGGCGACACGGGACGAGTCGACATCTCCCGACAGACGCCAGAGCCAGACGTTGGTTGTGACGTTTACCGGCGCGCGCCGCTCGTCTTTGATCGTCTCTGCCTTCGTCAGAGTTTCTATTCACTGCACAGCGGTGGAAGTTGTGAAGGTACGCTCATTTGAGCATAACATTGAACAAAACTAGCTGAGTGCACGTAGATAGTGACAATCCATCAAGAGTAAGGTTTTCGATTATTGAATGATTCTCGAGAAACCGGACGACGTTTTGGGCTAACTGGTCATCAAGGTTCTCCATCACGAAACTTCCGAAGGACCACAACGCCACTCATAAGACTCAGTTACGCAAATATACCGAGTAGGCTTACATCTCCCAAACCACTGACTTTTTGCACTGCCACTGGCAATGTCATCGCCATCCTCCCTTCCTTCGTCTGCCCAGCGAGGTGCTTCCATTAACACCACACGGGGCACAAACGACCACCCCTCCATCCCTCCGCCGCCCTCTGTTCTACCACCATTCATACAAATCAGAGCCCACCAGGCTTTGTCACCACATTTGTCGTGATTGCTGGACGCCAGACTCCGTATAAGTACTGCAGGAGAGTGCATTGCGACTAGGCCAGACCATTCAGTGATGTAGGGGGAGGTCATATCCATCAACACTCACCGACGGGCGCCGGACGTTAGACTATCCAAACGTTTGGGCTAGCGGATGTTTGACCCTCGACTAACTCGGACATTTGACATAGGTACTAACTTTAATTTCCCTGATATTCAACGAACAGTTGAACTTCGTCAGCCTTGGCTCTATGATTAACACACGTTGCCTGTCGTGGACATGTTTGTGGATCAACACTGCCGCCTCTGCCACCGCCCACCGCCCTCGCATCCTTCCCACCCCCGCCTCCACTCCCGCCTCCGCCCCTCCCCCGCCCCCATCCTGCAGCCGGGGATGTGTGCCTGTGGCGTGCGCTAACGCTGTGTGATTGATGATTCCAGTAAGCCGGGCGGACCCGGGGCCCGGGACGCCACCCGACTCACGACGCGTGTGCGGACGAATCACGCAGACGAGTCACCGGAAGGTTGGGAAGGCAATAGGTGGACGAAGGAGAATGGTATTTTAACGAAAGTAGGTGGGTGGGTGTAGCCTGTAGGGAAGAGGTGGTGGATATTCGTTGACTGGAAGTCAACTTTGGCGAACGAATCAAGATGGAGGTAACTTCGGTCCCTATCAGCCGAGCAGTCAGGCGGAACAAAGGAGGCCACCGGTTTTTTATTAAATTCATAGCGTATTATCGGTAAACAATGTGACTTATAGGTGTGTTTATAGGAGTGCTTATAGGTTATTGACCACGAAAAAGTAAGCGGAATTTTTAATGAAAATCAAGGAAACGACCATCAAATTAAACAAATAATAAAATTATTCAGCAGCATATAAATGACCAACCATGGGTTTATGCTCTGAAAATAATTGCCAATAAAAATATAAGCCTGCTAATCTCAAACGGTGGAATCCCATGCACTCCACGCTGTCCAAATGTACTGGATGCCGAAAGTACATGAGTACATCAATGGCTATGTCCATCGGCATAGGTCGATACCGGATCAATGAATCAATAGTTATCAGGCCTACGAAGGGAAATGGCTTTTTAGCAGTCTGGAATGTTCCCGGTAAAATTCCACACGACCCAATCTCAAGATTATCATGGGAATAATCCAATAACAATGCTTTATCTTACTTGTATTGAGTGATTTATTGCTTGCATTGTAGACGGGGTATAGCGCTAGCGATTAAACCCAAGCACAACGGGTAGCCGCTGTTTGGCGCATATGCGGCTGGTGGCTTCAGACTGGTAAATGGCTGTTATGATTACATGATAAGTAGGTGGGAACGACTTCAAAAGTTATGATGGCTTCTGCAAGTTTCATCTCGGCTCACTTCGAAGAATTCTCCATCATGGGTTGCAGACATATCACTCATTCATTTATCACACTCGCTGAGATTAACATTGGTGCAAGTGGGCGTATAACTATGCTTCGAACATCAAGCGTAAAACTTCTCACGATTGATGATTGCCTGGTAGCGGCACCACTAATTTCCAGGAGTGATCGAACCTTCTCTGCTCCGATGAGTTCCTCGAAAAAGCTTCATCCATCAGCAGGACCAAAGGCATTCGAAACAAAGGCCCAGTGAGTGATGCTGCAGCAAGGAAAGCGTCGCCACTGCGTTATTTAACGCCCTGGCCAACTGCTAATTTTAGGGGGAAATATGCGTTCAAAATAAGCTAAGCCAAAAATGAAGCTATTATAGCTGTAAGCTTAACGCATTTATGACAACTAACTTAGCTGTAAGATTAATGCATTTATGACAACTAACTATCTCAAACGCAAAACGCTCCCCAAAACGAATTTTCATTAACCCGCGCCCTGCTGGGGGGGTGTTTGAACACCCCCCCTTGTGGTTTTTCGCGAATATCTCAAAAACGGCGGCGCGGAGCGCCGCCGTTTTTGGTACACCTTATCATACATCAATTCTACACATGTTGTGAAAATTTCAGACCAAGGTCATTCAAGGTCAGGTCACCAGGTCACTTGAAGTGACCTCACCTCATAAAAAGTTTCAATGTCTGTCATAGCTACATCGAGTGACCGATCGCTTTGAAACTTTCATCGTTTGCTAAGAGCAATAGCATGTACAAAATGTATATCTCAGAATTTTGATATCGATGACCTAAGGTCAGGTCAATTTTGCGACCTCCCCATTATAAGTCAATGGGAGAAAATTGAAATGTGCCTCTTTTGGACGAAAGACATTATAAACACTCCCAAACACTGAATTACAAGTGGTTTAGACACACTGAACATGAAAATGGTGTCCGTGACCCCTGTTTATGCCCTGAGGTCATCTTAGGTCACGAATGGTATCTAGCAGTTTTTCGCAAATAACTTTTGATAGAGGCATGCTAGAGCGATGAAAACGCCTTAGATGTGTTCAGCTCGACGACACGGATCGACTGATATGCAACATGACCCTTTCCGGTCAGGTCATGACCTTGACCTGAGGTCAAATTTTCAAGTTGACCTTTCAAGGTCAAGTTATAGTTCATTCGATGCGTCTTGACGAGAGGAACACGATGCCGGTAAAAGTAAGCTCGTACAAGGCTTGGGTCAAAAGTTATTGCAGAAAAACTGTTTCCGAAAAAAATCGGCTATTTTTGCAGTTTTTGCTCCCTGCAGGCAAAACCGTTGACGTCAGGTCAAATCTGAGAAAATTATTCAGAAAGGGCGTTAATAGGGCTATCGAATGCGCTTTTCCGTGGCGCTGTAGCTCTATTGGTTCCCGAGTTATGCGTTGGCTTCTTGGAAATTGTCGACATTCGACCTGGAAATCGGCGAAATTTTGCCTTCAATGACCTCTGGTGACCTGACCTTTGACCTGACCAAAAAAAATGACCGAAGTGATTTCGTCATTATTTTTGACGCTCTTTCGAACGCCGCCTTCCGCGTATCGCTACGTGGCCCAGGAGCCGAGTTAGAAGGGGGGGTGTTCAAACACCCCCCCCAGCAGGGCGTGGAAATCCAGGACCCCCAGCCGGGCGCGGGTTAATGCTTCAACGTGGATAAAACGCAAGGTTTCAGGGGATCCACAATGTTATTCATGATAAAATTGTGTCAAATCTACAAAACATTGAGATTTACAGTAGTTTCATGATTTAGGGACAGCATGGTCGGACCGGAAGCCCCAAAATAGGTTTGCATAATGGAATTAAAATCGCAGACGCCCAGCTAGATCCGTCTCCAGATCCTTAATTGAATTGTCACGACATGCGAGCCATGTCACATCCGCCCGAGCGACCGACATTCCGGACCGAAATTACGGCCAAATTCCACCCTCTGTCTTCGGCCAGACATTCAATCAAACGCCACGGAAATTAAACAGTCTGAGGTGAGCCGCGCGGGCCCATACATCACCCTTTCTCCACACCGTAGCGCAGCGAAATTTCCTCTCTCCTACTCCTCCCCACTGACATCACCCACCCTCCTGTTCTGTTCATTGTCCCCCCACACCCACCAACCCCCACCCACCCCTCCATTAGTGTTAAGTCAGACCAATATGGCAGACCAAAAGGTAGACCAACATGGCGACGCCGGCAGTGTGACCCACCTTGACCTGCTGCTGTTTCTTCTTCCAGTGGAGGTCCCACTCGTTGACGATGCGTCCCCAGACGACCCAGGCATCCTCCTCCGGCTCGGCGGTGCTGTCCTGACCCTGACCGGAGCTGGTGACCGAGGCCACAGAGATCTGGGAGGTGTCGGACGACTTTCGGCTGTGGCCAGACGTGTTGGAGAGCGAGTTCAGACTCTTGGCGTCCGTCTCGATCAGTCTGAAATCACACAAAGATGACGTCGGTCAGACATACGTAAGAATACCACCGGTAGATATAACCCTTAGTTAGTTGTATGTATGTATTTGTCCCTTAGTTAGTTGTATGTATGTATTTGTATGTATTTACGATCGTGGGCGATCCACACATGGTGTGGCGATTACTGCCCCTTAGTTGTGAACAAAAGCAAATAAAAGAAGACATTAGAACGAACAAAACGTAACCATATGACGATGTTATTCTTCGGCGTATTGGCTTCCAGACTCCGGCATGGGGAAATTCCTTGAAATCAATTTCAGGGAGTCTGCTTAAGTCCCAAATTAACAGCTTGCAATGCCGGCTGCAACATTCACCAACCAATAACCTTTCCAGAGGTCGCCAATGTTCCGAATACCGCTCCCATCCCTCCTCCATATTGCACTCCGACTAGTGCCGTATTTATTCAGTAAGTCGCTATAGCCACCTTCAGCCCTCCCGTACCCAGCCGTCCTGAGGATAAATAGGCTTATTTCCGGAGAAATATCGGCCAGTGCCGCGCCTAACGGCTCAATTTCACCCGACAGGGAGACGAGGGAGGCGTTTAGACAGTGAAGGAGGGGGTGAGGGATCAGGGGTATGAGGGTTAGATGGGAGGAGCAAGGGACTAGAGAAAGACCAAGTGCGCAGCGGGGCGATAGGAATTAGTGGCCAGCTACATAAAATGCATCTTGACATCGGAGGGAGGGTAGGATGGGAAAATGTCTCGGTTTGCACAACAGTGATGTGAGGATATCTGCATTTTATCAGATGCAGACTTTAAAAAATCAGTCATTCTTGATGCCCAAAGAGAGAGAGAGAGAGATAGGAGAGAGAGAGGAGAGAGAGAGAGAGAGAGAGAGAGAGAGAGAGAGGAGAGGAGAGAGAGAGGAGAGAGAGAGGAGAGAGAGAGAGAGAGAGAGAGAGAGAGAGAGAGAGAGAGAGAGAGAGAGAGAGAGAGAGAGAGAGAGAGAGAGAGAGAGAGAGAGAGAGAGAGAGAGAGAGAGAGAGAGAGAGAGAGAGAATGGAGACAGACCCCAGCCATACATGCGCCGCCATCTCCAGCCCCGCTGACTCGGCCAGTCTCATCCCACCAGGCAGACCACAGCAGCTGCTGAGATGGCCCGTCGTCCGTCACTAAATGTTCACGGGATTCTCGACCCTCAGTTCGACCCAGCCGGTCACGGAGGTCGCAGTAATAGCCCCAGGGCGGAGACAGATGACCTGCCTGCGCCGTCGGCAGGCCAAAATGAGCCCGGATCTGGGGGAGGCCATCACACAGATCTGATGGCGGGGGGGGGGGGGAGATACGGGCTGAAAGGCAGGCTTTGTGTGACAAAGTTGCGCATTCGGCCTAGTATTGGAAACTACGCATTCCAAACTACGCAACGGTGAATTGTGTCTATGTAGTTCATCAGTGATAATGCGGAAGAGCTTTGCAGTGAGGTTTGTTCAGCCCATTGTCCGCTGTCTTTTCATGGACATTTTGAACTAGCGTGATGGCTCAGCAATAGCATAGAAATCAAACAATACGCCGTGCTACCGTTCGTTCGTACCGCGATTTCATTTACTAGCTCGCGTTTGACTGACTAGCTTTTATGACTAGCCCCGTGCACAGGCTGCACGATCAACCAGTTGCCAGACAGCTCTGGGAGACTGGGAAACTGGAGATGTTTCTATAAATATAGCACGCTAAGCCAGTCTGGTAATGGAGAAATGATGAAGAAAAACGGCGTGAGCTCACATACCCTCAGATTTACTGTGAACTAAAAGCATCGTGTACTGAGAAAACCTCTGAGGGTTGGCCGAGCGAAAGGCTAGCTAAAACATCAGGGAATGACTCGACTTTGGGAAGCTACCCAGTTTCGTTGAAAGGACCTGAAGGAATGTGTATCGCATGTGTATATGAACTGCCTGCCCAAAAGCACCTTGGTCTAGGGAAAAAGTTGCTGGCAAGGGACATGTTGAGTGATACTTTCACTGCCCGTGCTGCAAAAGACAGCGATCTATGCCAGTCATCATTTACGTCAGCAGTCAAAGATACCGTTTCAGTCCGTTAAAAATACTCCCGACCATAGCGCTCACAAACCAAGACACGAACGTGACCATAAATGTGATTTCCGATCGGCGCACTATGCTCGCATTCGAAATGAAGCCGCACGGGGTACGAATTTTCGAGGAAAAGGAGGACACGATATTATGTTGATAGCTCCGCTGTTCCAACTCACTTCTGGCAATAGTCACTGACTTCCTGCACCGACAAAACCTGCCGGCGTATAAGGACGCTCCTGCGATGGGGAAAATTCGCCACCATTCGCCACTTTCCTTTTACACTCGACAGCGTCGGCCGGCATTTTTCCACAGCCAAACGCCATTGGAGCGGGCCGTTTTTTTTTTCTTTCTGCCGCAGCGCCTGTCGCCCTCGGGTCGAGCGGTCCAGTGTTCCACCAGTAATGGTGAGCCGCGATCGGCCGAACGGACGGTATATCGTGACGGCTGTCGGGTCGGGGCCGACAGAGGAGGTGCCGATATTGGACAACGCGGCCCGACTGACCGGAAACTGGCCACTCTATACATCGAAAAAATAAAATAAAAGGAATACTATACAATAGCTGGCTTTTCTAGCTGGGTGATTAAAAACATCACACAAGTTAGGTACAAATAAGCAACAGCGCATCATTCAAAGTTAACGGAGATTATAATTGAAGGAAAATAGATGACCCAGCTGGGATAAGGAAAAATCTAATGTCTTAGTCGGTAACGTCATTTTCAACCTGCGCGCCGACCCCCCGTACAGTTGCCAGGCGGACTGCGGAAGGGGGCGGGTGAATCTAGATGACCTGGATGGTCACAGCTGCCAACAGCCGCTGAAATGGTGCATACAGATGACCCGCACAAAACCCACGCGCATACAGTGACCTTGGCATAGGAACGGTTCGGTGAATATGTGTAAATCGGGTCCATCATAAAACAGTGTGCATATGAATTGTAAAAGAGTATTCACGAATCCTGTGTTCCTGTAAGTGTTCCTGTCGTAACATTTAGCACAGCACAAAACGTGTGGTGCATCACTTCCTCATCCGCAACTGCACCCGTAACATAATGGAAAATATTTGAATTAGTTTCAGTGAAGCCTAACCCCTGAGCCATTGCTTTTTTTTTACTGGTTGTGGGGAAGAAAAGCGGAGTGACTACCAAAGCTCTGGCGCACTTGCCACTTTTTACCGCTGGAAAGCTGCATGATTGCAAGTAGTTTACTGTTGTATTTATGTCAATTTACCGTGTTGATGCGCCTCCCGTGAAGCCCCATCGCTTGGAGGCAGGCGCAAACTGCCGCCAAACATGTGACCAGGTCATTACCCAGGCCTTAGGTCATTACCCAGACCTTAGGTCATTGCCCTTAACTTATCCACACTGACAACACTGCAGTCAAAGGAAGCGGCAAGGGCGATAGAACCGATTGACAGTGATAACAAATGCCGCTGAGAACCCGCTACCAGTAACCAGTGACCAAGAATCAGCGACCAACAGCAAGCGACCAAGAGCAAGCGACCAGCAATAGGCATTTAACAGCCAGCGACTAGCAGACAGGACCTCTCACCTTCATCCCCGCCCCGTGACTGGCACTCTGAAGTCAGGGAGGAGCTACCGAGGAAATGACTGGCATATATTCAGACCGACAACAACACAAGGGTGGTGTTGTTCGTCAGACACACTAGCGTCAATGGTGGGTGGAGGTGGACGCGTTGGTATGGATGTATGATTGTGTATGAAGCGATACGTGGTAGTGGTGGTGCAGCGGTGGTGCGTTAGTGGTGCAGTGATGGTGCATGGAGGTGGTGGAGTTGGAATGTGGCGAGCAAAGTTTCACCTCATGTTTACTTTCCTCAGCTATTTCGAGGAGCCGCTAGCATTGTGTCTGCATTGTTTTCCAATGAATCATTGAACTGATGAGTCATGCGATCAGCATGTATCTGCACAAACAATGTGTTTGTTTTGCATGCCCATTGTAAGACGCGCTTGTACCCCCATAGTAGCCAGTAGAGTCAGATGATGAGTAATCTGCCCAGTGTGTGGTTACAATGCTGATCACACTAAGCATATAGTTACAGCTTTGTTGCCAACTTTACACATCCGTGAAGTCGTGTATAATTAAATTAGCGCAAAATGGGTCTTCGTATGCGTGCTAGTTAAATGGTGTGCTGAGCCTACTGAAATCCAATTATGGCAATAGCCCAAGCCAGTTAATCCAGGCAATTATGATGTTTTATTAGGACTTAAAATTAACTTAGAGGTTAATATATCCTCAAATTTATGCACTACATGAAGAGGTAGTGAAATGACCATTCAAAATTTGATTCAGGCCGATAACGTTTACGAATCGCCTGGAGATCAAATTCAGGGTTGGTTATGTAATTATTGGAAAATTATAGAGAGCTATAAACTTATCCATTGTTGTCTGGTGCATACTGCTGACAAAAAAAGAAAAACATGTGAGTCAACCATACAACTTATTCACGCAGGGACGGTCCGAACAGCCAAAAATGGCAGACAATAGAACAGTAGAGGTATATACGACAAAACAAAGCGCCCGTTACGAACCATGTCTGCCAGACGGCCCATTTCTCACGCGATGAAGGACAATCATAGGACAACCTAGTTGGTCCCCGCCGGAAATATATGACATGACCCACCACTTTACCAAATCGAACAAACGGCCATCCGTCACTTTCACGAGGGCTGAATATTACGCTGTCGACCACTGCATAATGTTGCAGTGTTATGGTTGCCGCCTTAGTATCACTGACCAAACTGAAGGAGACATTTCCATGTCCGCCAAATTAATGCAAGCATAAGACTGTGCCGGCCGAATTACCCTACCAGCCGCCGGGCCAAATTACACTGTAGTCAGCCGGATACCCTGGCAAATTGCATCTTGGTGGACTTGGCACATGGCTGGACCTGCATGGATCGTATGTGGTTGGCGGTGGGCGGTGGACGGTGGGTGGTGGACTGTGGACAGCAGACAGTGGACGGTGGAAGATAGTCGGTGGAAGGTAGTCGGTGGACGGCGGACGAAGGATGGTAGATGGTAGACGGTAGACGGTGGACGTTGGGCGGAATCATCGGTAACTATCTGTCGGCGCGGCTCACCGAGTCACCAAACATGGTCCCACATGGCCATGTCCGGTCCAAATCTGTGCTGTGATCATCTGCTCCAGGGAGAGAGCTGACGACCGAACTTTGGAGATCGTATCACAGTTCGACCCGGGCGTTCGGCCCACGCACAGCACAAAATTACTCAGCCGGGACGTGCCGAGAAATGAAATTAAACAAACTGTCACGCAGAGAAAATTTACGAAAATTATATGAGAAAATGGGACAAGGTCTCATTGGGCTGAGTCGATGACCGTGGAAACTTTAACTAAATTTAGGCGGTAAAGCCAGGAACAGGAAAATTGCACAGAAGTAATTATCTATCACAAGACATAGCTGGAGAACGGTTGTGAGACTTGGTTATGTGAGAACGACCAGATCATTAACTCGAAGGGATGTCACAAAAGCCCCCCATCGAGAAATGACGGAACAATAGAAAGAAAGCTTGAGGAGACGTAGCAAAGTTCAGATTGGCAGAAAATTGAAAAGGACTTCCGTTGAAAAATGGGATATGATATTATTCGTCTAATTGGGATTCTGCGTCGCATTTAATCATTCGCTTTCTGGTCGGCTTGCTGAAATGGATCGTCGGATCTTTATGACGATTAATTATTTCCCGATCAAATAGAAAATGAAACTGGAACGACTGCATAATCTTTCACTACAAAACCGAATTCAAACACGGAAAATAAAAAAACAATCACGAGGCGTTTTAACGTCAGCAGCGGACCAGAAATCCTCCGAGCTGCGAGCATTTGATAATTTCCTGCGTTAGTCCGGTCTGAACTTCATCTTCAGCGGTTTGCGTGAAGTCTCCCCAGCACAGTGATGCAAATGGGGTTCACGAGTGGCCATAAATACCCAAAAGTCAAGTTTACCAAATCGAGTTAATTGCGATATGGCCGAGTAGACAAATGTTTGGGGCATCTGAAATCACATGGTGTTCATGTTTTTGTCAAAACCGGCCTCGTGTATTATCGTCAGAAGTCGTGACATTTTCTAGGTCGTAAAATGACGGTCAGACACTCGCAAGTTCAAACGCCGCTGGTTTGCGTTCATTTCGTACAAATTGAACAAAATATGCATGGGAATGATCCCCAAAGCCTTCTGCTTCTAATGCCGGGTCACAAAAAGCCGTATCTCATTCGCTTTGTCGGTAATCTGACTATTTATCATCATGTTGCAATCGCAGTTTTTTACTAAGAAAAAAATGCTTTCGTTTCACCTACAGCACTTAACACAGTGTGTGCCCGTTAGTCCACCATACCATAGCCTTCCCTAATCATTTCTGAGTCGCATCGTGAAAGAATTAAGGTGCTAGCACAGGGCTGACCGGCGCTACAGAGGTTTTTGTCCGGGCGGTCGGGCGCCGCAGTGGGCGCGCAGTGGGCGGGTGGGTGCCGTCGCGCGGCGTCCGGGCGGCGCGGCGGCGCGGCCGCCCGGGCCGCCCGCTGCGCCGCGGCACCCGACCGTGCCGGACGAAAACTTCTGTAGCGCAGGTCAGCCCTGTGCTAGCGCCTTAATTCTTTCACTATGCGACTCAGAAATGATTAGGGAATGCTATGATATGGTGCACTAACGGGCACACACTGTGTGAAGTGCTGTAGGTGAATTGAAAGCAAATATTTTTGGTAAAAAACTGCGGTTGCAACATGATTACAAATAGTTAGCTCACCGCCAAACCAAAATAGATACGGCTTTTTATGACGTGGCATTAGAAGCAGCAGGTTTCGGGGATCATTTTCATGTATAATTTTTGCAGTTTGTGTGACATGAACGCACGCTAGCGGCACTTGAATTTCAAGTACCTGACAGTCATTTTACGACATCGAAAATGTCTCGACTTCTGACAATCATACACGAGGCCGGCTTTGACAAAAACATTAAAATCATACTTTTTCAGACACCCCAAACATTTGCCTGACTGACCATATTACGATTTATTCGATTAAGTGAACTTGAATTTTGGGCCTTTTTCGTATTTATGGCCACTCGTGAACCCCATTTGCATCACTGTGCCCAGGGACACAAACAGCACATCATCGTAAACCCTGCAGCGGTCTCGCGTAGGTGATATTTGGCAAGAGATGGCAAATCCCTAAAGGGCAGATGACAGATCCCCCGGGGGCAGGTGAGAGATCCCCCGGGGGCAGGTGACAGATCCCCGGGGGCAGGTGGCGGATACCCGGGGAGCAGCTGATGGATCCCCGCGGATCCCGGACACGGCTAACACACCGGATGTCCGGGCTCAGAAAAACAAGGGGGCGGGCCGGCGCGGCGGCCGGCACAAGAATAGCCTCCGGTCCCGGGCACCGCCGCGCCGGCACGACCACCGAACTGCCAGCTGGAGCCACGGTGGATGGTGCATGTTCCGTGGATGAGAGTTGGGAGGTGGGCTGTGGTGGGTGGACATCGGACGGGTCGGCAACAAGGCAGTGGCGTGAATGAGGGAGGGATGGAAAAAAAAGATCGAAGGAGGGGGAGTCCACAATATTGGAGTGTACCAAGCTAATTCACAAGGTCACTGACCTCGGGGGTCAGTGATCTCTAAAAAATATCCTCTTCCCTCATGGACCCGTCACCCACGATTCCCTCTTTCCATCACCTACCCGTCCGAGGCTCGCCGGTGGTGGTGAATGCTGACCAGTAGGTTGGACAGCCCGTGCCATCCGTCCCTGAACAGCCTCATGGGCAGCGAGCTGCTGCTCCAGGGCGGATCCTCAGCAGGAGGCTCCTCCAGCACCAGTGCAGCAGCCTCTGTGATGTCGGTGTCTGGGGTGGAGGCATCCTCTTCATCATCGTCGTGATCCGGGTGGTCCTCCAGCGGTCCTCCCGAGAGGAATACGTCATCCTCCACGTCGAAAGTGTGGCCGTTGTCGTCAACTGAGGTTAACCGAAGTCGTGGTAGGATGCTCTTGCCGTCGGGGGTTAGTTTGGGTCGAGATAACTCGTCTGTCCTTGTAGGAAACACTGGTACGACATCAGTCTTTTCAGCAGCCTCCTCAGCGGCCGTGAGGCTCCCTGGCGCGTCAGCGGCGGGAGGATCCTCCCCACCAACGTCCTGAGGAGTGGGCGTGGGGTCGTTCGACCTCCAGCCACCACCACCCGAATCGGGTTGAGCTGACGCACTGACATCATTGTCACCAGCACCATTATCATCGACGCCACCAGCGTCACTGACGTCACCATTCTCGCCACACTGTTCGCAGTTCAGAACGTCGTTACCGTTCACGGGATCCGTCGGTAGGCTCGTCGATGTCGACAGCCCATGTTTGTTCACGGTCTCCTTCTCCGTCTCCGTCCTCTTCGGAGGCGGGGGCTCGTCGCCAAGCTCACCAAACACGTCAAAGTAAGACATGGCTCGCTGTTATGGCGTTATGCCATCGCTTAAAAACGCACTTTGTAGCCTTGATAGTTGATGTTATCGCTTATTCACCTTTCTTCAATTATGTACGCTGCAGTCGGTAACGAATGGGTTGATGTGAGCGACGGCAGTGGCCAAGATGGGTTTACTAGGCCGAGCGACGGCAGCCGAGGTATGAAGAGGCATCCTATTTGCCCATTCCCTATTACCCATCCCATTTTAATTCAGTCGTTGCCTAGCTCGATCCTTGCCTTTTTAATTAAAGGGACCCTCCCACCTTAACATTAGATTTGAGTTGAGATAGCCAAAATGGGGTCCCTGGCTCACAATTACCGGTTTCGGCACTCACAACATCGAGAAATGCCTTAAATCGGAAATATTGAATTTCAAAATTGCAGCATTTTGATTCAGAGGGGCTAATGCTTAGGAATACCCCTCTGAATGTGTGACGTCAGCGCAAATATCTAACGATTTTTAAATGTTTGACTAAAACGTTTTGTAGCACGCGGTGGTATATGCTATTTGCGCGCAACATCTGCCGCAAACGCCGCACTTCTAAAATAAAGTCGCTAGAAACAGCGGAGATCCCAAAAAAGTAAACAAAAGTAAAAGTCTAATATCTTGAAAACCGGTGAATATTTTTCGGTGAAATTTGGTAGATATTCGTTTTCGCTCTTTCTGAACCGAGCGACATCACTTTCATGCCAATTCATAAATTTTTTTGAAGGTGGGAGGGTCCCTTTAAATCATCATCTAGGAAAGTCATCAATATCACCGAGTTATGCCGCACCCGTGCGGCGTGCGTGCAGGCAGACCCAACCCGTACAACCTCTTCCCTATTCAGTATTCTCAGCCCCTCACACTTTTATCCGTTCACCATATAAGGCTATAACTACCCCTGCTCGCCACTTTACCCTTAACGCCCTGAGGTCAAACGATGGCGAGGAAGATCGCCCATAAATCGTAAGCCCACGCCGGGAGCAGCAGGCGCGCCAAGTTGTAACGACGGGCGTCGTCCTGAAGTGCCTGAGTGGTGTGTGAATAGGAGGGGCGATAGTATGCTTCCTTGCGGCAACCCACAAGGTGCGCTGACCACAGCCGATTCGGAGATCTGTCCTATGTGAGAGCGCACAACAGCCCGCGTTAACCGCACAGATCCAGATCTAATTAATGCGTGAGGTGATTGCAATGTCACCAGGTCATGCTGCCGCGTGACAGAAGGCAAGTTTAATTAAAAAAACATTGCAACCATAGCTCTGCGTTGTATTCAGCGGAGAGACACCGGCTCCAAACAATTGGCCATGGACGCCGCCGTCCATAATAATCCCGACATTGAACCTGGGCCTCGTGCGTGCCTGGCGTGCAGGGTCACATCGCTACAGACAGAACGTGCCAATGACTCCAAGGTGTGTTTGGAGGCACCCCGGCGATTGTTCGCATCTGTGAGACAGCCATGAAGGCCACCTCCACACCTCTCTCCCGAACCTCCAATCCTCTTTCTCACCGCCCACTTATGGACTGACAGCAAGGCACAGAAAGGCAACATCGGACAATTGACTGCCGTCTGCCACTGACTGCCTGACAGTATGACCTGCTGACCCTATTCAATCCTCCACCGTTGAATCAGTTCTCTGAGCGCCTCATTTGTGGAGCTGTCTCCGTAAGAACGGATCTCGTCAGAAGCGAGGACTGCCAATACGGGCCTCATTTCGCCTCGACTTGGATCATTTCACGTCCGCCAAGCTGTACCACCCAACTTCGAAACAGCTGTCCACGAAGTTTGCTCGACTCGGGCGGAGGCCAACTCTAGACCGGTGAGTTATTTGGTGATTTAATTTCGCACCGAGCTGAAGTTTTCAAAGGAGAAGACGGCTTTGGTTTGAACAGGAGTCCAGCCGAATTTCCGTTGTGATATAAGGCCGTGGTTATCGCTTGAAATTGTCATATCGCGCACCACAAATAGGTCAGCGTGGAGTACGCTGCGTTTGACTGATAAGGAGCTTGGCTCCGTGAGACGCTAAGCGACGGGTCGATACACACAGTGCCAGCAGTATCGTGGCCTGAAAATACCATTCCGCATCGCAAACATCTCCGATTATGTCACCTTTACCAGACTGGTGCGCCAAAAATAAATCCAGGTCTTATGCTCTTATCTTGGATCGAGGTTTCGTTCCCACGTGTAAGCCGTGAGGCTTCGATATAGCAGAGGCCAGTGACCGGTGACCACAACACTCCACCAAGCAGCAGCGTGGTGACTCACACCTTTCCGACCCCGCTCTCCGCCCGTTCCGTGCCGGGTTCCGCCCCGCTCTCCTCCAGGGCTCCGCCCCTCACGCCTCGTGCACTGACCTGACAGATCAGTCACGGTAGACCGCAGGGGGTGGAGGGAGATCACGCTGAGCTGGGATCTCGATCCCGGATAGCGACGGCAGAATCGAGCACGAACGACCACGACGACAAAGTCACAGTGTCCGTTCGGTCACTGGTCAATGGAAGATTCGTTCAGACCCAAACTGGCTAACTGCAGGAGTTCTGATATGCAAGCTTCGTTTGTCTCGAGCTGTATCGCTTAGCACACAATCGGCATTCACCTGACATGAACACCTTTTTAGCTTGAACGGGACAGGCCGAGATACACGCCAAAGATGCCAGGTATGGAGGCATTCGTGTGCTCAGCTCCGCCAATCCGTTGTAACCGAGGACGGAACTCTGCACCCCCAGACTGACCGGGAGCACATGACCACAACACGGATCATATGACCCGCTAAGGGATCACATCACCAAATGACCTTGTTAGACCTTTGAATCTACCGTCCGACATCAATCTGAGGCACCAACATGCTCGGCTGTTCACTCCGTTCTTCGAGAACACATCGTCCAACAACCACTTTCGCACTTCCACCACTCGCCGAATCCCTGTACCGTAAGTCCAGCTGTCACCCCCTGCCGCACAACGCTAAACTGTCGCCCTGACTGTCGCCAGACGCTAAACTGTCACCACTGTCGTCCCACGCTGAAGTCTGAACTGTCGCCTGTCGCCCACTGTCGCGGACGGTCGACTGACAGCTGCCGTCTGGGCTCATTTCAATACGGAGCAGCGGCCCGGCGACCCGGCAGGAACCACCTGGCAGCAGCCAGCACGGCAGACCCGGCCGATAGCTGGGCATCGATTCAGGCCGCGGGCAGGGCTTCAGGCTGGGTCTCACAGGGTGGATCAGAGGCTGTGTCAATAGCTGGGTCAAGGGCTGGGTCAGGGACTGGATCAGGAGGTGTGTCAGGTGATGGGTCAGGGGCTCAAAATGAGGTTAAATATTTCCAAAAGCGCCCGCGATACGCTAAAATGATCAGCATTCACAACGGACCAGAAGCTGAGCCCAGCCTGGATACAGTTCCACTCAGCTGGGTCCGGGGCTGAATTCTATGAGCCCAGACTGAGCTCTAGAGTGAAATGCGCTGGCACCTTGCCGGAATCACTTTGGGGTTAAGCTGGAAGAAGCTAATAAATCACATCACCAGACTTTAGCCATGCAGACGTCAGCCATACACCAAATGGCCCATGTAAACCTCAGCGAAGCTGACCTCCCGGAGAGCACTAACCACGCCTTCAAAATCGCGCTTGTCTGTGACCTGGCTGGCTCTGCCTGGCCCCAATGGCTCCGTCTGTGACCTGAGCACTGAGCAGTCCGCCCGTCTAGCCAGCCTGCCCGCTCGGCGGCGGCCGGCGTCATTGTTTCCAGCACCGCTCGCCCGTCACCGCCCCGCAGACCGCGGGCGGTGTGGGCGGAATTCGCCACGCCGCCGTCCGGTCCCGACCGCCGCACGCGAGCTGACTGCCCGAGAGGCAGCCGACGTGACCGACGGAACGAGAGGGAGGGGAGGGGTGGTCCAGATTCTACACCACGAGGGTATCGAGCGTGACAGAGACGCGGAAAGGGAGGGGGCGAAACGAACAGCAAAAACGCCTTACTTGCCACAAATAACGCAATCGTGCGCGACTGGGGCTAATTCGAGACCCAATCACACGCACGGTACTCAACGAAGGCTCGTTTTTGTCGTGTTTGAGCCCACTCACGGTGCTCGCTCAGTCCTTGGGGCGGGTCTAACGCCGTGTTCGGAGGGACGGGAGGAGGGTGGTGCGGGGAGCGAGGGCCGCACAGCCGTGGGCGGCACGGCTCAGGGTCAGACGGAGGGAGAGTGGCGGCGCCGTGCGAACGAGAGGTGCAGCCCACGGCGCACCCCGACCGGGCCGGGTAGGTGCGTCGAGAAGTATAAGGAGAATTTAGTCGACGCAAAACTCTTATTCATGACTCCCTCTCCTTTTTCATTCACGATAAGTCGCAGTGTCATATCTGGCGTCATTCTTACGCACATTTCTCCAGCGATATTCCTTATTACCACCACATCCAGAAGTACCACTACGCTATATCAGTCGGGGAAACTGTGGTCAAATCTTCCATTTTTAGAAAGCCTTCCATTTTTGGAAGGATTTTCTATATATGGGTACGCACCTTCCAAAACTGGGTACGCTGACGACGTCATCGTACCCAAATATAGAAAATGTTGCGCATATGTTGGAACTTACCGATTTCCGCCGAACATGAGGCAAATGCGACTATCGCCCCTGGTCGCTTTCTATTCGCCATAGTGAAGTGTCCATAATCTAGCGTGGATGCCTAAATCCTAGCGTGGATGTATTTTAGGTAATTTTTCAAAGTAATGAGTCGTGGAAAATTGACAAAAATTTACCGACAAACGATGGTTTTATAAGACTTTATCAAACATTTTGTAAGCAAAAAGCATCAAAAACGAAAAGTAAATATCCTTAAAAGTACTTTAGTGACGGGCCATGCTTGTTCGATACCGCCGACTTTATTTACAGTGCGGAATTGTCTGGACAGAGTGCGGCGGTTTCGGGAGTGTAGTGGCGAGTAAAACTTGTATTTGTTGCCGTTTTCTGCATTTATTAGCATATTGTGTGGTTGATTTCAATTTTTTAAGGCTTTTGCCAAACATTTGGGTGGAGGTCTCGTCATTTTTCAATGTTTTTTCCGGAATATGGGACGAATTAAATAGGCGTTGCTGCGCC